GTACGCCAGAGTATAGTACATTGGAGTCGAAACGCGGAAAAAAATCGATAAAATTTAAATGTCTCCGTTCTGCAGGGACTGAACCCAATCCCCTCACAGACAAGGCAAAGAGCTTAACCAATGCATTACAGCCACCGGTCCACTCATTCATCACCACAATCTGTTTCAGAACATAAAGAAGAAAAGACCCCAATTAAATGTATCCTTTTTCATAGTTTTTTAAAGTGAAAACAAATCCGCCTCTATTAATTCGCCATCCGCGTCTTTCAAAAGAAAAAAGAAACATTAAGAAACAATGAGAAAAACAAAGTGGGCCACTGAGGGAAAGAATTGCCGTCAAATAACAAATCAAAACTCGTCCCAGACACGCGTGCAGATCATTCAAACCCCATGCATTCGCCCAGAAGCCGCTTCCGCAGGGAAACGTGATGGCAAATCAAACAGCCTTTTTCGCCAGAGCAATTCGCTAAATACTTTCTGGTTGCTTGACAGTCGTAAAGTTCCAACGGTTGAGTAAACGAGCTGCTTGCGCACACGACGGCTAATCACAAGATGTGTCTAACGCCAATCTAACTCAGGCTGTTACTACAAGGCCACGTGTCATGTTGCCTTACTCACCCGTGACGACATACTCCGGGGAGGTGTCGGTAGTTGGCAGTAAAAATCTTAACAGCTCCCAGAAAATCGCACAAGAAAAAAACTTTATCGTAGTGAACCCATCTACGCTAAACGTTTGATCGGCAGCAAGGTACTTTGCGTCGTAACCGACACAGTTTAAAACATTTTTGGAGGCAGGCTGTTTCCGCCCTGCTTGTCATGGCCAACCTGAGTAGAGCGAGACAACGGTAGCTCATCTGAAAGACGGAAAAACTCAATAAACATAGCCAACAAGGACGTTGCTGTCCATTACAACAAAGTTAGTTTTTTAGTAAGTGTTTTACGGCACTTGCAACACGATAAGGTCATATAAGTGCTGAAGATTAGAGGTGTTACAACGGAGTAACAAACTCAAAAAAGAAGGAGAGGAGATCAAGGCGCAAGCCAGTCTCATCTAAACACTTCCTAGGAGCCTTATTGCTGCCTGTCACATGCAGCTTAACGTCCTTATAATTTGAACTATTAAAAGTCGGCAAATCTACCGATTAGAAGCTGTTTTATTGGGCATTTCTTTTCGTTGAACAATTCTTTTTTGTTTATTTTTGCTTTCCTCACTTATCATACATATCAGAATGTCTGTACTGCATCTGTATACTCATAATATCAAAACTTCATAATTTTCTCAACGTGTCTGCGCGTAACCTATCTTTTCAATGCTGAAAATGATAAAATAGCACAAACTAAACTTGTAGCGACAAAGCAGGAAATTGGTTTACGATTTGTAAGAGTTTATTTTATTTGTTTATCTCACTGTTTATCCGTTTATTTCTTGGGTAATACCACCCCTCAGACAGGAAGTCGGCTGCGACTCTAGAACACAACAGCATAAGTGTTCGTCATTCCCCCTCAACCTTTAAAGGAGGCAAATTATCTCAAGATGTCATGCCTCTAGAAACATCCGGAGCGAGACAAAATTATAGTTCGAAATCAATTCAGTAAAAAAAAAAAAAAGTTTAGAAAGAACAAAAATAGCTAGGCGGCTTTGATACACAGCAATACAACAGCAACAACAAAAGATTCACTGCCAGCGTATTCCTTCTCTCTTTT